TTAACTGAACAAAGCAAAGGGCACGGCCTGCAGGAGCAGGGCAGGCAGGATCCGCCCAACACTGCATCCCCGCTGCATCACTCACCAGCCCCCGCCCCCACCCCTCGGGGATCAGGAGCCTCGCCCCGCTCTGGGGACTGTGCAGGGACCCCCGGCCTCCGGGGGTTGACCTGAGATACCCGTTTCAGGTCCTCTGCTCTATGAGCCTGGTCTGGCTTGCGAGACAAGCAGCCAGGGGGCGCTGTAAGCCCAGGGACCAGGCCAATGCAGCTGGGCACTTGCTGGGGACACACACGGGCTACGTCTAGACTGGCATGATTTTCCGCAAATGCTTTTAACGGAAAAGTTTTCAGTTAAAAGTATTTGTGGAAAAGCGCGTCTAGATTGGCACGGACGCTTTTCCGCAAAAGCAAAAGCTGCCCCCACCTGCCTGCACCTGAACAATAGCCGAGACCCTGGATAACCTGAACACAGAAGGGGGTGCGGCCAGGAAGCAGGACAAAGGCCGGAGGAGGGGCCTGGTGGGGCTGCCAGGCAGGTGGGTTGGCCTTGAGTGAATTGGGGGCAGGAGGAGGGGCAGGGTCCTGGCCCTGGGCCCCCTTCTCCCTAGGATGTACGGACTGCGTCTGGTCCCTGTGCTGACCAGTCTGTGCGACGCTGTGTCCCTGTCGAATAACAAACCTTCTGCTCTACCTGCCAGCTGAAAGTCACATCTGGCTGCAGATGGGGGTGCCGGGGCCGATGACTCCTGCACCCCTTGGTAACATCCCCCGAGAGGCACAGCTCCATGGTCCTCCAAATATGTGCAAGAAAGGCAGGAAACGTGCAACCTGCACCACAGCCAGTCATGCTCTGAGGGCCAGCAGCCCTGCTCCTGTGTCTCTCGCACACTGCCCCCCTCATACCACAAGCGGCAGGCACTCCAAAGGGGGCACAATTTTTACACACACTCACCTCCTAGAGCTGAGCTCCCGGCCTCGCTCTCAGGCCTTCTCTGCCTTGCGTCTCCTGGCCTGCTGCCCTGGCACAATTTTTATACACACTCACCTCCAACAGCTGAGCTCCTGGCCTCACTCTCAGGCCTTCTCTGCCCTGCGTCTCCTGGCCTGCTGCCTTTGGGTGACTCGCAGGGTGCAGGGTGGGGATGAGGGGCCTTCTGAACCATTATTTCCTTCAGACAGTTGAATAGGCCTTGCAGGGGGCTAGTCTCTGCCCTCCTGTCTGTGCGAGAATAAACACATTAGTGACTAAATGCCATCCTCGCACTGTGGGAAGGAGGCTCCACCTCCCTTTGTTTAAAACAAACAAAAGAAGTTTTTCTTCATGAAGTGCAGTCAACCTGTGGAACTCCTTGCCAGGGGATGTTGTGAAGAGGAGGACTTTAGCAGAGTTCAAAAAAGAACAAGATCAGTGGTCCCCAAACTTTCTGGCATCACGCCCCCTTTTTGATTTTTGAGAAACCCTCAAAAATCCCCCCAAAATAATAGCAGCAAAACTTGTTGAGAAAAAAAAAAGTTGCCCTTTTAAGAGCAGAGGTAGGCATTGTCCTTTTAAGGTGGCAGCCATTTGAAGTCTGTCCAGGATGCTCCATCCTCCCCTGGGTTCTTTCTGGGGGGGAGATTGATGGGGGAGGAGAGTTGGGTCTCCTTGCGCCTCCTGGAATTTCTTCGCATACACCCAGGGGGGTGCACCCCCCAGTTTTAGAACCTATGAAGTAGATAAATTCTTGGAGGTTAGGTCCACTGATGGCTATTAGCCAGGATGGGGAGGAACGGTGTCCCCAAATAATTTTTAATGGGGGGCACTTCCAGAATTTGGAAAGTGGTTGAGGGCCGCCCAGATGTGGGGTCTGGGATGGAGGTTGGGTGCAGAAGGGAGCTTAGGGTAAGGGACTAGTGTGCAGAAGGGAGATAGGAGTCTGAGAGGGGGTTTGGGTGAAGGAGGCGGTTGTGACCTAGAGCAGGGAACTGGGGTGCAGGGTTTTTGGATGTAACTTAGGATAGGAGGGAATTGTGATCTGGGGCAGGAGATTGGTGTGCCAGATCTGGGACGGGGTATGGGTGCAAGAGGGGGGGCAGAGGATTTGGTTATGTGGAGTAGGGAGGCGGAGGGCAGAGGTTTGGAGAAGGGAGGGGCTGGGGAGCCAGAGGCAGGCTCTCACCAGGAGACTTACGAGCCAGCAGCCAAACCACCCTGCCTGCCTGCAGAGCTTAAAATGTTTCTCAGCCAGCCAGCCAGCCCTTTCTGAATTACTAGTCCGGGGTGTGTGTGTGGTTCTTCCTGGCTGCCTGTTATTCAAACCGGCAGCTCCCATTAGCCAGAAACCAACCAGTGGGATTCTTCTGGGGACTGGGGCAGCGCCTGAAATCTTCCCCTTCCCCTCTTGCGGGGTTGTCCAATTGTGTTCACATGGGGTTCTGCCATCCGGCCTCAGCTCCTCAAACCACCCTCTGGTTTCTCTCCAAATCTCACAGATTTTCGGACCCGTGTCATCTCCCGAGTCCCAGAATGGAGCCACCAGGCCTCAAAGCACACCGAGGTGTGAGGTAAAATCCATCCCCAGCATAAAATAGTTAATTTGCATTTAATTTTAATGGTTCAAAGAATGTCAGGCAACATGGTCGGCCCTCACGCATGTTCACTTCATCAAATCTGGCCCTCTTTGAAAAAAATTTGGACACCCCTGTCTTACACATTTGCAACCCACATCCTCCCTCTGAGGAGAAGGGCCCGATCCACTGACCCTGAGGGCAGAAGGCGTCTTTCCACGGACCTCTCCTCCGCCTCACTGAACCGTACCTTCACGAGAACATCGCCAAAGCCCCAGCTCCACCCTCAAGTCTTCCACATCCCCTCGGGCGCTGCCGGTGGACCAGCTGCTGGTGGGGGTGCTTGGAGAACTGGACCCCCCGGTGAGGTCCGTCAGCCCTGGGGTGGGGGGGTTCTCCATAGTGACCTCTGTTTTAATTACAGAAATAAAGGCAATTTCAGCCCAAACTCTGCAGCCAATGGCCCAGCGGCCAGGCCTGAGACAGGAGTATTTGGGTCTCTGACCGGCCTAGCGAGATACGGCCCCTCCAGGCATTCAGGTACAAACACACTGTAACTCACCCTTCACCTCCGCCTCCTGGTTCCTGGGTTCTGTGCTTCCTTGCGTGCTGGGGCTCTGTGTGCCAGGGTGTCGGGCTCTGATGATGGGGATTTCCTTCAGGCAGCTCAGCAGACCTCGGAGGGGGCTGTTTTCTGGGGCCACTTCTGTGTTAATATCCAGAAAGAAAAAGACCAGCGGGAGATGCGTGGCCACGGCAGCCCGGGGCAGTCTCTGAGCCCCGTGCCATCTCCAGGAACTCGCACCAAACCCCAACACGACTCCTGTCTCTCTTCACACAGGACTGTGGGCCGCCCCTCCGGACCCACCGCAGCCTGGAGCTGGCGGGATGTACAAGAAGCGGCCTGCGGCACAAGGCCCTGAGATCTGGCCTCTGGGGGATGCAGGGTCAGGAGGGGTTGGAGGTTTCGGGGAAGGGCAGCCCAGCCGGGGTGAGGAAGGGGGAGCTAGGAGGAAAGATGCCAGGTCCAGTGTGGCTGAGCCACAAGGAAGCGACACCGGGGGTGGGAAGGTGGGAACGAGGAGGAACGGGAGACGCTTAGAGTGGCCCCAAAGGAGTGAAATGACAAATCACCCAAAATTTGGGCTGGGTCGACTTTCTGGACACCAGGAGACGGGTCAGACTGTGGTGCCGTGTCCCACAGGGAGGGGGAGACGCCTTGTCTTCCAAGCCACTTCATTGCACCCAGATGGGAGCCCACCTAGCTTACCCCTTGGGACTCAGAGCGGGTCCCTCCCAGATCTGTATCATTCCCTTTCCGCGTCCCCTCAGACACCTGGGACAGCGGGCGGCCACCCTCTGGCAGCATTTTTCTGGGACGGGTCAGCCCACCACGCGACTCGCACAGCCCGACTCGCCCGGGACTCACCGTCTGCAGGCGGGCTCCTACACGCAGACCCATCTGTGCTGCTGGCGGTCACGCTGCTGCCCGTGGAGTCGGGACGGCCACGGCTACTGACTGAGGCGGCTGCTAAACGGCTCTGCAGGCCAAGGGCGGGTGGGGCCTCTGGGGTTACGTCTGGTTGAACCAGACAAAGGCAGCATCAGCTCAGCTGCCCCTTAAAACCAAGCTCAGGTCTCAGACCCAAACCAGAACCACGGACGAGCTCCCTGCAGGGTCAGGCTGTGCTGTCCCTCGGGTGCGGGACCCCACTTACCCGCAGCATCTGCCCTCTCGGAGCCCGGCTCAGCTTCGCCTTCGGCAGCCTCAGCTGGCTCCGCGCCGGCGTTTGAATTCCCGAAGAGAAATTCCGGGATTTCCTTCACCAGCTTCATCAGCGCGCTGAGGTGCAGGCTGCCCTGTTGCGCCTCTGCTTGGGACACGGAGAGAAACCTACCCAGTGCGACTAGCACCACGCTTAAGGAAAGAGCCGTCCGTCCGTCTGCCCATCCGTCAGTCCTTGCTCCCTTATCGGAGAGTCATGGAATCATAGTACACTAGAACTGGACCTTGAGAGGTCATCGAGTCCAGCCCCCTGCCCTGACGGCAGGACCAAGAACCATCTAGACCATCCCTGACAGGTGTCTGTCCAACCTGCTCTTCAATATCTCCAGTGAGGGAGACACCCCTAGGCAATTTATTCCAGTGTTTAACCACCCTGACAGTTAGGAAGTTTTTCCTAATGTCCAACCTGAACCTTCCTTGCTGCAGTTTAAGCCCATTGCTTCTTGTCCTGTCCTCAGAGGCCAAGGACAACAATTTTTCTCCCTCCTCCTTGTGACACCCTTTTAGTTATGTCAAAACTGCTACCATGTCCCCTCTCAATCTTCTCTTTTCTAAACTAAACAATCCCAATTCCTTCAGCCTTCCCTCATAGGTCATGTTCTCTAGACCTTTAATCATTCTTGTTGCTCTTCTCTGGACCTTCTCCAATTTCTCCACATCTTTCTTGAAATGTGGTGCCCAGAACTGGACACAATACTCCAACTGAGGCCTAACCAGCGCAGAGTAGAGCGGAAGAAGGACTTCTCGTGTCTTGCTCACCACACACCTGTTCATGCCTCCCAGAATCAGGTTGGCCTTTTTTGTAGCAGCGTCACACTGTTTCCTTCCTCCCTCCAGTAACTCTTACCTTCCCCATCCCCGGTGGGGTAGCCATCCTCTTCAGTCTGCTCTGAGTCCCAGAGCCTGACCCTTTCTGGGTCACCATCTGGACAGGCCAGTTCTTCCCCTAGAAAGATACCGTGGGATAGTGGCTGTCTCCAGGGGTGCTTTAATTCATGTGACTATAGACTCATAGACTTTAAGGTCAGAAGGGACCATTATGATCATCTAGTCTGACCCCCTGCACAGTGCAGGCCACAGAATCTCACCCACCCCTCCTAGAATAATCCTCTCACCTATATCTCGGATATTGAAGCCTTCAAATACTTTGAAGGCCCGAAGATGCAGAGAATCCTCCAGCTGTGATCTGTACCCCATGCTACAGAGGAAGGCGAAAAACCTCCAGGGCCTCTGCCAATCTACCCTGGAGGAAAATTCCTTCCCGACCCCAAATGTGGCGATCAGCTAAACCCTGAGCATGTGGGCAAGACTCATCAGCCAGACACCCAGAAAGTTCTCTATAGTAACTCCTATCATCCCTCCATTGACCTATTCCCACTGATAATGAATGGTCAATTAGTTATGTAGAGGGTTCCTACTGCCCCTGCTGGCCAGCAGCCGCCCGTCACATCGCTGCTAGGGCCTGGGGGCTGCCCATGTGGGATTTGCACCAGAAGCTGGCTTGACAGCTGAACACTGGGGGGGAAGGGGGAGTCTCATTTTGGGCGGGGCCTGCAGGAGGGAGGTGGGAGGAGCTAGTGCCATGAGCCATAGCTCCACCTCCTCCCTCTCCTTCTTCTGCCAGCAACCCTGGGGCCTGCAGTGGGGGACTCTCCCATGAGCCCTTGGGCTGCTTCACCAGTCCTAGGCACTGCCAGGGAGGGGGAGCAGGGCTAGGAGTAGGGGGTGGAGCTCAGCTCCCCATAACTGAGCAGCTCCCTTGGAACCAATGGGGCTCTGTCAATGGACGGTGGACAGAGGCCGCAGGAAGGTGGGAGGGGGAGACCCAGGCCTGGGTTATACCTTATGAGGGTTGGGCCGGCTGTCAGGTCTCCGCCCAGCCATGGATGTGCAGAAGATACTTGACACAACAACTGCTCAGAGTCTGGTCTGTCCCCGGCCAGGGCAGGCTGCTGGGGGCAGAGGCTAAGCCACGGTTACTGAAAGACTCACTCACCGTCCGCACTGCCGCCCTCGCTGGCGCACGCTCCCTCTCCGGAGACACGGCAGATCCGGTGGCCAGGAGCCTCCCACTCCTCAGTCAGGGGCGGGAGAACCAGCGTGGGAACTGGCTGCCCTGGGCGGGAAAAGCCAAACACGGCACAGTGAGCTATCCCAGTCCAGCTGGAGGCCAGGCGAGCAGCAGCCGGGCCGAGCAGGTCCAGCAGCTACCCAAGAGCTCAACGCCACCTCGGCCGGGGCCTGGAGCTGTGCTGGGGCCAGGGAAGAGATGAAGCTACTGAGTAGGACGTAGCATGTCAGGGAATCTGGCGACAGCACAGCTCAGTCAGATGGGAGCTAGGAAGCAAGCCCTGAGCAGCTGTGTAGCCAGACCCCTGGAGCCTCATCCATACAATGGAAAAAGCACTAAGGGATGCTTTGAGGGGGAATGTGTTAAAGAATACTCGGTGCTCTTCTACTGCTGTGATGGGGGCCATTCTTGGTACCACAAACAGAACATGTGTTTTCCACACAAGCAAGAACACACATGGCTGTTACTAAGATGGTTAAAACACAGCTTATGCTGCAGTGAATGAGAATCGGAAATCATTTAAGAACACCTTATTAGATGCCTCAATCCCATAACCGGGCTGCACTGGTTAAAAACCCAACCTAATTTAGAGGGGCAGTGAAGGTAGCTATACAAACATACTATGTAACAAATAGAAGAAAAGGGAAGTTGATAGTAATGAATATAAATCAGAAGTTAGGAACTGTAGAAAACCGATAAGGGAAGCAAAGGCACACAAGGAGAAATCTATCAAAAGCAGAGCTAAGGACAATAAAGAGGTTATTAAATATATTAGGAACAAACAGAATCCTGACAATGGCATTGATCCATTATTAGATGGAAATGATAGAATTATCAGCAATAATGTAAAAAAGATAGAAGTGTTTAGTAAACTTATCTACTCTGTATTTTAGAGAAAAACAGGTGATGCAATCTCATCATGTGGTGATGACAGTGCTCTTTTCATTCCACTAGTATTTGTGGAGGATGTTAATCAGAAGCTACTAAAGTTAGACATTTTAAAACCAGCAGGTCCAGGTAATTCAAATCCAAGAGTTTTAAAAGAGCTACCCAAGGCCATTAGTGGACTGTTAATATCGATTTTCAACAAGATGTGGAGCACTAGGGAAGCTTCAGAAGACTGGAAGAAAGCTAATAATGTGCAGGATTTTAAAAATGGAAAACAGAATGACCCAGGTAATTTTAGGCCTGTCTGCCTGACATCAATCCCTGGCAAGATAATAGAACAGCTAATCCAGGACTTAGTGAAAAACAAACTAAAGGTGGGTAATGTCATTAAAGCAAATCAATCGTTTTATGGAAAAGAGAGCCCATCACACTTACTTGATATCTTTTTTTGATGAGATGACAAGTTTGGCTGATAAAAGTGATAGTGTTCACATAATATATTTAGATTTCTGGAAGGCCTTTGACTTGTTAATGCACAACATATTGATTAAAAAGATAAAACAAAATAAAATTCACCTGGCACATGTATTAAAAAGGTTAAAAACTGGCTAACTGATGTCTGAAAACGTAACTGTCCATGAAGAAACAGCAAAGAGCAGGTCTGTTTCCTGCGGGAACCCCTCACCTGGCACATGTATTAAAAAGGTTAGAAGCTGGTTAACTGATGTCTGAAAATGTAACTGTCCGTGAAGAAACAGCAAAGAGCACGTCTGTTTCCAGAGGGGTCCTGCGGGAACCCTTTATTAGATGCCCAAGATACCTCAATCTCACAACTGAGGAGGAAGGCTGCACTGGTTAAAAACTGAACCTAATTTAGAGGGGCAGCGAAGGCAGCTATACAAATCAAAACATAATATGTAACAAATAGAAGAAAAGGGAAGTTGTAGGACCTACACTATTTAACATTTTTATCAATGACCTGGACTTTGGGGAAAATGATCACTGATAAGGTTTGCAAGTGACACACACATGGGGGGAGGGATCGATAATGAAGAGGACGGTCACTGATTATGAGAGATCTGCATCACTGATAAGGTTTGCAAGTGACACACACACGGGGGGAGGGATCGATAATGAAGAGGAGGGTCACTGATTAGGAGAGATCTGCATCCCTTAGTACACTGGGCACAAGCAAACAATATACTACTTAATAGGGTTAAATATAACTGTCTACGTAACACCGACAGGCAGAACCAAACCTGGGACCTCTGGAGCTTTGTGCATGAGCCTCTACAGCTTGAGCTACAAGCCAGCTGGCTCCTAATGCTGTAGAGAAAACTCATTCTCTCTCTAAGTGGCCGCAGTGCCACTCCATGGGCCCCTCCCCCAGCAGGTGTAGGGGTTGCACGTGTCTAGGATCAGAGCCTGGCAGCCATACTTACAGCCTGGGAAAGCAGAGACTCTGAGAAAGATTTGGGGGTCCTGGTGGCCAATCCACTGAACAGGAGCCTGTCAGAGGATGCTGTGGCCAAAAGGGGTCACGAGGTGCATGATGCATAAAGAAGTTATTTTGCCATCTCTGTTTGCCCCAGGCATGACACTGCTGGACTAGCATGTCCAGTTCTGGTGCCCACAATGCAAGGAGAACGTGGACTAATGGGAGAGGCCAGAGAAAAGCCATCGGAGTGATTAAGGGCTCTGAAAACCTGCCTGATAGCAACTCAATGAGCTGAGTCTATTTAACTTAACAAAGAGGAAGTGAAGGAGGTGACTTGATGACAGTCTATTAAATATTTGTCCCCTGTGGAATCTAAGGGTATCTCCATGGGGGACCAATAGTTAACAACAGGTTCAATCGAGCAGAGAAAGGCACCCATGGTGGATTCGCCATCACGGACAATTTTTCAAGCCAAACGGGAGGTTTTTCTAACAGATCTGCTACGGGGATTGTTTTGGGGCAAGTCCTATGGCCAGTGACACAGGAGATCAGAATAAATGACCCTGCTGTTCCCTTGGAATCTGAGTGTAAACGGGTGGTTTGGTCCTGTTGGGAGAGGCCACCGAAAATCCGTGGAGTTGGAGAGACGTTCACGGACAGCTCCTGCACTTGGCTTGTTGTAGGCAGAGCCCGGAAGATACATTCATATCTGCAGGAAGCGCCCCCAGCCCACCATGCAGGGCTGCTCCTTACCAAGCGAGATCAGCAGCTGGGAATTCTCCTCCATCACTTCCTTATGAAGCTCCTTCTGCCATCGCTGCAGGATCGCCCACTCCTCCGCCGAGAACCTGACGGCAACGTCTTCAAACGACACTGGCGCCTAAAGACAGACAGACCGGTCGATCCCAGGCCTGGGACAGGAGCACAGGGGGTGCTATACAAGCATGGCCCATGCCCCTCAGCGCCCTCTGGGGTTTCAATGGGGGAAAATGCATTTCCTGCCAGTCTCTCGGGCAAGCCGTTCCCATGCCCATCACGCCCAGACATCGAGCCGGCTTGCTCTAGCTGTCGTCTCCCCTTCTGATTGAACCCCTCCATCCACTGAGACCGGGGCAGCATGAAAGCCAACTCTCCCTGTCGTAACACCCAGAGGGGCTGGAACAATGCATAGAAGGGGACATTGAGAGCCATTGAACCAAAGAATAGAACCATAGAACTGGCAGGGACCTCAAGAGGTCATCGGGTCCAGTCCCCTGCCCTCACAGCAGGACCAGACCATCCCTGACAGGTGTCTGTCCAACCTGCTCTTAAATATCTCCAGAGATGGAGATTCTAAACCCCCCTAGGCAATTTATTCCAGTGTTTAACCACCCTGACAGGTAGGAACTTTTTCCTAATGTCCAACCTAAACCTCCCTTGCTGCAGTTTAAGCCCATTGCTTCTTGTTCCATCCTCAGAGGTCAAAGAGAACAATTTTTCTCCCTCCTCCTTATTACATCCTTTCAGATACTTGAAAACTGCTCTCATGTCCCCTCTCAGTCTTCTCTTTTCTAAACTAAACAAGCCCAATTCTTTCAGTCTTTCCCCATAGGTCATGTTCTCTACACCTTGAATCATTCTTGTTGCTCTTCTCTGGACCTTCTCCAATTTCTCCACATCTTTCCTAAAATGTGGTGCCCAGAACTGGACACAGTACTCCAGTTGAGGCCTAATCAGCGCAGAGTAGAGCGGAAGAATGACTCCTCGTGTCTTGCTCACAACACTCCTGTTCATGCCTCCCAGAATCAGGTTGGCTTTTTTTTTTGCAACAGTGTCACACTGCTGACTCATATTTAGTTTGAGGGCCCCTGTGACCCCTAGATCCCTTTCTGCAATGCTCCTTCCTAGACAGTTGTTTCCCATTCTGTGTGTGTGAACCTGGTGTACGATGGAAACCACTTCAAGCCACAGTGCAGCAGCACTCTCTGCACCCCAATTCCAGCCTCTGTGATAACACCCCCTCCAAACAGCCCCATGTCAGATAGTAACATGCCTGCTCCGAGCCACCAGCCCCTCTGCACCCACAGCAGGAGATGCCCCAGGGCCATGTCCATCCTGCTGCAGTATGGGGACACAGCCACAGGAAAGGGACGGGATGGAACAGGGTGAGACCCATTTAAAGGGGAAGGCACTTGAAAGACCTGACCACTCCCAGGCTCCCAGCCTGCGTAAGCAGCAAGGAAAGGAGAGCAGTGAGGAGCCAGCATGGCTAACGAGTTTTAATGCTTCCAAGCATTAACAATTCTAAGCCCTCAGTGCACAGTTCTGTCCTGTTTAGAACTCTTCACGGACATTGAGTAACTCACTTCCGTTCTGAAGGGGTGGAGTGGAGAAAGGAGAAAGGTGACGTTTGTTAAAAGGATAAACATCCAATCAAACCAACAGGGCAAAATGACAAATGGTGTCAAGCCACCCTGAGAGCTTTCTCCAACAGGGTAACAAGGCTTGTGGATGGGGGGAAAGTGGTAGATGTCTTTTCCATCCATGTGTGGAATAAATTTCTGTATGTGCACCAAAGCGTGTGTCAATGTGCACCACCAGTAGAAACAAAACACCTGGCTGTGGGTGCTCTGCTAATCAGCTGAGTAGCACTGGAATCTCTCCTAAGCAGCCGCACAAGCACCCAGCTTACAGGGAACCCTGACTTTGGTAAGGCGTTTGATACTTTCTCATAAACAATCCGGAGAAATACAACTGAGATGAAGCTACTATCAGGTGGGTGCATAACTGGCTGGAAAGCCATTCCTACAGGGCAGTTATCAGCAGGGGCGGTGCATGAACTATCCAACGGCATGGATGCGGCCCCCAGCCGGTGGGACCAGAGTCCCTGGGCATCCAGAAGGACTGTCATGGAGGGGCCTTGTGCAAGGGTATAGCTCCCTGGCACTCTCTGGCAGTGCCTGGGGAAGCTCTCTCTGCTTTTCCGGTATGTCACTCAGGGAAGGGGGTGGGGCTGACCCTGCACTCCCAGCAAGAGACCTTCTCCAATTTCCCCACATCTTTCCTAAAATGTGGTACCCAGAACTGGACACAGTACTCCAGTTGAGGCCTAATCAGCGCAGAGTAGAGCGGAAGAATGACTCCTCGTGTCTTGCTCACAACACTACCTTCAGACACCTCCCACTGTGGTTTGTCAAAGCGGTAGTGAAAGCTTTCCTAAAACAAACAGCAGGTGCTGGTGTGTCAGCTGAGATTGCTAAATATGAAAGATATGGCAGCAGGCAAGAGAAACAAAGCAGGAGACATACAATGCTCCCTCAAGGAGTTCAGTAGTTCAGTCACAAATTTAATTAACACTTTTTAACAAGTGTCATCAACATGTAAGCATGTCTTCTGGAATGGTAACAGACGCATGAAGGAGCATACAAATGCTTAGCATATCTGGCAAGTAAATACCTTGCAATGCTGGCTAGGAAAGTGCCATGCGAACACCTGGTCTCACTTTCAGGTGACATTGAAAAGAAGAAGTAGGCAACAGTAACTAGCACAAATGTAAGTAAATATGTTTGTCTGAGCAACTGGCAGAACAAGAAGTAGGACTGAGTGGACTTGTAGGTGCTAAAGTTTTGTACTGTTTTATTTTTGAGTGAAGTTCTGTAGCAAACAAACAAATAAACAAAGCCAGAGCCAGGCCCACCACAGCATCCTCCATCCCAATACACTCACGGCTCCATGCGCTGCAGCATCTCCTCCAGGTTGGAACTACAAGTGCTGGGAAGCTCTATGTGTGAGGTTCCCTTGCCTGCAGACTCTTCCCCCGCAGTTCCCATTGGCTGGGAATTGCAACCAGGGCTTGAAAGAAACAAAACATCTGGCACCTTCCCTGCAGGCCACAGTTCCTCTGGGCTCTGCTGCGCAGGACTCTGCATTCTCCTCAGCAGCCCATGCTGACGTCCTGGCCCAGCTGCAATCCTGAGAAATCACATGGGCCTCTGTGGCTGGCTCTAATCCCCGTGCGGACACGGGAGATGCTGCGTTCCTTGCACTGCCCTCCCCCATGCTGCCGGCTGACACATTTCTCCGTGCGGCGAATGCACCTCCAGGGAAGACGTGACGTGGACGTGACATAATTAAGCTCGACACGGTGATATTTTCCAAAGACGTAATTTTGTGAAACCTTTAATTCTCTGTGCTCCTTGGCTCTGCTTCCCGTCCAACATGCGAGAATCGTTCACGGCTCATTCACAGCCTGGCTGTTCGGGTAACATCAATCAAGAGCAAATTAGCCAAGGGCACTGGCATTTTCAGGCACAGGAAGAGACAACCACTTGGCCCTTGTGCAGAGCGTTCACCGAGGGATCTCAAAGCATGGGACACGGATGCTTCGGATTAAGTACGCTTCACACCCCTCTGCCCTGGGAAAGAGGCAAGTCTCATTTTAAACCATCACCCCAGGCTGAAAGACACCCATTGCCAGGGCCAGCACAAAGGCCTGTGCACCCCTTAGATCATGTCCACACTAGGCTGAGGTGCCTTTGGAACAGGTGTTAATTAGCACGTTAAAGGTCTAGTGTAGACAAGATAAGGGAGCCCCCTCCCCCGCTCAATTCACACAGCTGTATCTGCACTTAACCAGCCCGTACATAGCCATAGAACTGGAAGGTCCTCAAGTCCAGTGCCCTGCCCTCATGGCAGGGCCAAGAACCGTCTAGATCATCCCTGACAGGTGTCTGTCCAACCTGCTCTGAAATATTTCCAGTGATGGAGATTCCACAACCCCCCTATGCAATTTATTCCAGTGTTTAACCACCCTGACAGGTAGGAAGTTTTCCTAATGTCCAACCTAAACCTCCCTTGCTGCAGTTTAAGCCCATTGCTTCTTGTCTTGTCCTCAGAGGCCAGGGAGAACAATTTTTCTCCCTCCTCCTTATGACATCCTTTCAGATACTTGAAAACCGCTCTCATGTCCCCTCTCAGTCTTCTCTTTTCTAAACTAAACAAGCCCAATTCCTTCAGTCTTCCCTCATAGGTCATTTTTCTAGACCTTTCATCATTCTTCTTGCTCTTCTTTGGACCCTCTCCAATGTCTCCACATCTTTCTTGAAATGTGGTGCCCAGAACTGGACACAATACTCCAACTGAGGCCTAACCAGCGCAGAGTAGAGCGGAAGAATGACTTCTCGTGTGTTGTTCACTACACTCCTGTTCATGCCTCCCAGAATCAGGTTTGCTATTTTTGCCAGTGTCACAAATATAACCACGAACAACCAGAGACTTGTTCTGCAATACCAGCCCTGCTGAGATCTGCTCCAGGGTCTCTTCCTGTTGCTGTGGTCTAGGTACCACTTGCATTGCTCAGTAACCACACTGGGGTTACTAAGGTGTGTGGGTTACATATGCGCTTTCATTCCCTGTTGCCTGAATGGGATGATGTGATAGACACTCCCCTGCCATGGACATTCAAATGCACAACTCAAAAAGATGCTTTAAGCAAATTATTTCATGTAACCCATTAAGCTTCATGTCACGATCTGTTGGTTCTGTTTATCTTACTTTGATGTGTGTATCATTTGTGTGTGCAAAATTAGACCTATGGCATGGGGAATTCTTTGTGGACTTCAAATGTGCAAATGAGAGAGGGGTCTTTGGCTCCTTCCTTCAGATGCAGCCCAGCCAAAAGACCAAGGCCTCTGCTTTCCTATTCCTTTTGTTAAGGCAGGGGTTCTCAAACTTTGTGACACCACGACCCCCCTCTATGTTGCTTGTGACCCCTCGGGGGGTCAAAAACCACAGTTTGAGAAACAGTGTTAAGGAATTGAGGCCACTCCCTACCCGCCCCTACTCAGACTTAAGGACAAAAAAGATTGTTTAACAGTTGCTCATCAAGACATCATCCAGGGTAACACGCTCCGGCTACGTTTAGACTGGCGTGATTTTCCGCAAATGCTTTTAACGGAAAACTTTTCCGTTAAAAGCATTTGCGGAAAATCATGCCAGTCTAAACGTAGCCGGAGCGTGTTACCCTGGATGATGTCTTGATGAGCAACTGTTAAACAATCTTTTTTGTCCTTAAGTCTGAGTAGGGGCGGGTAGGGAGTGGCCTCAATTCCTTAACACTGTTTCTCAAACTGTGGTTTTTGACCCCCCGAGGGGTCACAAGCAACATAGAGGGGGGTCGTGGTGTCACAAAGTTTGAGAACCCCTGCCTTAACAAAAGGAATAGGAAAGCAGAGGCCTTAGTCTTTTGGCTGGGCTGCACCTGAAGGAAGGAGCCAAAGACCCCAAGGTGAAGAGACAGCTCTGGTTTGGGGGGGCAGCTGGAAAAGAGGTTTTAGGGCGAGTTTGGGTAAGTTTGTACTGAGGTTTCAGTGTAGAATTAGCCAAGCGTTTTTGTTTCTTTTGATTTATAACCTACTTTGCTCTGCCTGGTCTCACTTATTACCATTTAAATCCTACTGCTTGTACTTAATAAAATCATTTTTATTTTCTATCAAACCCAGTGTACGTAACTGTTACTGGGGGGGTGGGGGTGGGGCTAACCAGAGTGCACATTCCCCCTGTCATTGTTAAGGGAGCCTTACCTAATTCTTTGGGGGTTGATCCCATTTGGGGGTGGTATTCCAGGAAGCTGGGCCCTAAACTGGACTCTCCTGGTGCCTGAAGAGGTTTGGTGTCTGTACTGCTTCTCGGGGGGGGGCAGGGATCTCAGCTCCTGGTGCCTGAAGAGGTTTGGTGTCTGTACTGCTTCTCAGGGGGGGCAGGGAATCTCAGCCAGGGGAGACCAGAGGAGCTGGCCCAGCAGGACCAGGCGGTGAGAAGCCCCAAAGAGCAGGAAGGTGAGTGGCAGTGGCCCTGTCAGCCCTCCAGGAGGCACCCCAAGGGGTCATCCGTGACTGCCCCCCTCCCCCGGTCACAGATGATTCCCCCAAACCTTTTTTTAAAAAAATGGTCCCACATAATTTGGCTCTTGAGCAGATGTTTGCTGCGTTGTATTTAGTTGTCCAGCAATAAAAAGCCAGAAAGAGAAGTAAGAACATTAATAGTGTGCAATAGGTTAGTGAAGTGTGTTTCGTTTCTCCCTGCAGCGGCTGGACAAAATTGTTAATAGCCTACTCCTCCTACCAGCTACTGAAGCTACCGTGCCTTTAGCTCAGGAGGTAAAACTGAGGTTTGAACCTAGGACCTTTGCCACCAAAGCGGACTGGCAACCACCAGAAGGGTTATTACAGTTCTTATTATGGTAGCACCTACAGCAGGCATGGGGAAACTAGGGCCTAGGGGATGGATGTGGTCCCCAACTTGCCTGGATCCAGCCCCCAAGACTCAGGGTCCCCCACCCCAGCATTGGGGAACCCACGCCGGTGCTCCAGCCCCCCTCCCCGTCCTCCCATGGGGCTGGAGCACACAAAATCTACTAGCCTGGGTCCCCCTAGTCCAGGGCTGGGGAACCTTTTTCAGGCCCTGCCCCGGCTGCTGACCCACAGAAAAATCAGTCAGGTGAGAAGCAAAAATATATCTATATCTATATCTATATATCCCTCTTCACTGACATGGCCCCAGAATGAGAAGCAGAAAGACACTCCCCATATTCCCCTCGCACACCGAAGCCTAGGGGGGCCCAAGCTAGTAGATTTGTGCCCTCCAGCCCCGTGATAGGGCAGCAGTGGAGGGCAGGGGGCCCTGAGTCTTGGGGGCTGGATCCAGGCAAGCATCCGGCCCCTGGGCCTTAGATTCCCCAACCATGCCCTTTGGGAACCACATCAGTGTGTGGGGGTTTTTTGCTTCTCACACGTGCAAGGCCCCCGGCTGACTTTTCTGTGAGTCAGTGGCCCCTGACCCTAAAAAGGTTCCCCAGCCCTAGCCTAGAGAATGAGACCAGAGTCCCACTGCGCTAGGTGCTGTACAAACAGAGGGAAAGCCAGGCCCTGCCCTGAAGAACTTACAGTCTAAACAGACAAGCCATCCAAAGGATGGGGGGAAACAGCTCACACGTGCAAGGCCCCCGGCTGACTTTTCTGTGAGTCAGTGGCCCCTGACCCTAAAAAGGTTCCCCAGCCCTAGCCTAGAGAATGAGACCAGAGTCCCACTGCGCTAGGTGCTGTACAAACAGAGGGAAAGCCAGGCCCTGCCCTGAAGAACTTACAGTCTAAACAGACAAGCCATCCAAAGGATGGGGGGAAACAGCTGAAGAGCTGTACATGCAGCAGGTTAGAGAGCAGGACAGAACCTGCTCTTTTGAGGAGCAGTCCAGTGCGCTAATCACTAGACAACATTACTTCCCACGGCACAGCAGGGTTTTTCTTTGGATACTGAAAGAACATAGGCAGGTTTACTCCCATTTTTTTCCTGCCCTTTTTCAGGAGCAGAGGATGATCTCTGGCCAAGAGCCAGGCAAAGCACCCAGCTCCCCACAAAGTGTCATGCTCCTGCACCACCAAGGTGGCTTCGTGGGCTCCTGGAAAAGCAAGAACTGGTGGAAGGCACTTTGGGTTCTTTGCAACACAAAAAGGCAGCTGGGGGAGGCTGCC